TTTTTTTTGAGACAGTCTCACTCCCAGGCTGGAGTGCAGTGGTGCAATCTTGGCTCACTGGAACCTCCGCCTCCCAGGTTCAAGCGATTCTCGTGCCTTAGCCTCCCAAGTAGCTGGGATTACCAGCACCTGCCATCACACCTGGCTAATTTTTGTACCTTTAGTAGAGAAGGGGTTTCGGCATGTTGGCCAGGCTGGTCTCAAACTCCTGACCTCAGGTATCTGCCTGCCTTGGCCTCCCAAAGTACTGGGATTACAGGCATGAGCCACTGTCCTGGGCCTGCTGAAATAGTCTTTAGGGTGAAATTTAAGCCCCAGTTTTCTCCATCTCTGAGACTTTATAGGCTGGAATCCACTTGGAAGTTAGGAGGCTGGCTAGGGTTGAAAATCCAAAAGGAGCGGGCTGATCTCTTGGCAAGAACCTAGGACTGGGTGGTTAGGTCTTCTGTGCTGCTGGCAACAGAGTATAATCTTGCACAAATGCTTTGTTTTTACTGGGCCTCAGTTTCCCCTGCTTATGGGTTTAAATCTTTGTGAGTCTAAAACTTCATACTCCTTACAAAACTCTCTTCTGAAAACTAACTGTGAAGTAGTCATGAGCAGGGAAATGTTTACCCCATCTTACAGGGGAAGAATATATTGTTAGCAAAGCCAGCTCACGTTCCATCCATTTTCAGGTAGAGGGAGACGGCAAGAAAACAAACTGATGATCGTAATCTCAGTGCAGAGCTGAAAAGAGAGGTTTTAGACAAGTCTGAGGTGGGGTTCCCTCTGTGTGGTTTCCCATAAGACTTTGGAGGGCAATTACTGTCTAACTCTGAAGTCCTTTCATGGTGCTGGACCATGGCAACTTACCTGTTCCCTTGCTAATGAGAAGGCCAATGTTACCCCAGAGGTATGTGGAGGGGTCTCTCTCTTACCTTGTTTCTGAAGAGGTAACTCTCATCTGGGCAGAGCAGGCGGCAAAAGTAGGAAAAATAGCTGCCTTCTGCTTTTCTTTTTAAAAAAGGACTTAAGTGATAGAGAATAAAGCCTGTTGCCATGGTTTATAAACATGGATAAATATTTCTGGGCTGGGAATGGGGGCTGGGGGACATGATTCCTTTTTGCTGAAGAGGAATCAGATGGCTCAGCCTCCTCCCTTCCACCCCACTCCAAAGCTCAGCCTGGAGGATGAGATTATCTCATTTGAAAATAAATAATAAAGAAATCAAAGGTCTTGAGACTGGTTGTGAACATACTTTCTCAAAGCTCTTCAGAGCTGGGGTGGAACCCTCAGAAGGTAAATGGCCATTTGCCCTCCACTGGTGGGCACTTTACCTGACAGAGGGGGTGCAGCTCCTGGAAACTGTGTCCAATGCTGTCAGCTCTTGGGACTTGACTGCCTCGCCTAGCCAGGGAGGGTGGTCCCCTTTATCCCACTACCAGAGCCTGTAGCTCCTGGTACCTATCAGTGAGCTCAAAGGAAGAGGCAGAGCCAGTTGTGTCCCAAGGGAGCTCAGACCCTACATTAAATAATGGAAACAACTTCATTCTCCTGGCTTCAGATCCTGTGGCCCCTACCTAGAGGTCCCTATCCACCAGGTCCTAGCCAGCTCTGGAAGACATACCCCTGAGTGAGGCACTGTCCAGCTTCTCATCTCTACTGGCAACACTCTCTCTCCTTGCACCAGGATGTGCTCCCAATAGCTGGGGAGCACATCCTGGTGCAAGGAGAGAGAGAGGTGTGGTCACATGCAGTCTGGAAACCTCATCATAATATTACCCCCAAGGGCAGGGGCCCTATCCCGAGTGCAGTGCCCTCATTCCTTGCCCCCTATGGCTGCCAACAACTATTATCCCAATCCCGTCACCCACCACACACTGCCTGATCATCAACAGGAAAGGCTGACCCTAGAGATAAACACATGCTGTTGGAATGTATTCAGATATCACTGCGGAACTGTTTCTCTCTAGGGAGAGGACCTTGTCTAACAGGCTGGCCCAGAGGTGCTGGGCAGAGACTGTGTACGTGTCTTTGTGGGAACACATTGGGTTGGTAGGGGAGAAACTGGACTGAGGCCCGGCTATTCTTGAAAGAATCCCACTGCTAGCTTTCATGACATCTTCCTTTGTCCACCTTAGACAGAGGACTGGGTCCTCTAACCTTTATGATTCCAATACCCAGAGACACAGAAGAGAGGATAAAGTGGCCTGTGTGTTGGGGAACCCTCTCAGTTCCAAAAGAAATAATCACTTTGGGTTTTAATTTAAAAACCTTTGGGGCCGGGCGCAGTGGCTCAAGCCTGTAATCCCAGGACTTTGGGAGGCCGAGGCGGGTGGATCACGAGGTCAAGAGATCGAGACCATCCTGGTCAACATGGTGAAACCCCGTCTCTACTAAAAAAAATACAAAAAATTAGCTGAGCATGGTGGCTCGTGCCTGTAATCCCAGCT